GCATTTATTAACTTGGAAAGAAGAATTTAGAATATTATCTGGCAAATTCAGGTTCCTAAACCTGACCATTTTGGTGTGTTCAGATCAGAGTTGTACTATTTTGTGGCCCCAAAGGCTTGTTCATATAGTGACATCTCTCCAAATTTGTGCCTTTCTTGGCATCTTAAGTATCTGATAAAACAAAAATATTCATCTCAATGTTTAGTATCTTTTGAAACCACACAATTTTGAAACTGGGGAATTATTTCATATAAATGTGAGGGCCTTTAAAAAATCTTTTAATACATTTTTTTCTTCTTGGCAAAATCCTAGTTAAAAGCTGGCAAGATGGTAGCAAAATATTTAAAAACATGCAAAAGCATCACTTCTTGCTCTTCTCAGGAGGGCCAGCATCTCAGAGCAAGCCCACTCTAACTACACTCCAGCTCTGAAATCAGAACAAATTGGGTAAAAATAGAAATGAACGATTCTATTCTTTATGAAATCTGAGAAAATATGTGTTGGGAGGAAAGAATTTGCTATAACATATATTTTAATATTTATATCTGATGATAAAACCACAACACATTTATAACCATTCTATCAAGCATTTTTACAACAGGGCCGCTGCTCACAGCGGAACACGCAATAAATATGCACAGACACACCGGGTATGAAATATACATCTTGATTTTATAATTGTGTGTGCTTTATTTTTTACACAAATGGAATGGAAGTGTCGAATATTTACACTTAACAGGAGTGTAAGCTGTGCAGTGTCTCCGTAAACTCTAGCTGGGCAAGGAGTCTTTCCCCTCCCTCCCATCCTGCACTACAGTAGCTTGATGGAGGAACATCCTGTCCGAGAAAAGCACAAAACTGTCCTATTGAAAGGCTCTAATGGGTACAGCCTGGTGCACTCACTTAGGAAACACAAATTCAGAAAGGAGAGAAGAAAAGTTTACCATCCCATTGGGAGTCAGTCTTGCCAGTTGGTTATCTGTCCTCATGAGTTGCTAGGGAAATTCTGAATTCTCTCTTGGAGATGAGCTTTGTCTAAATTGTCCACCCGTCTTAGCTTGTCCTCAGCTGCTACAAGAAACTGCACAGCTGTACAAGACATGATTTCTGAAGCACAGTTTTCAGTGAGAAAGGATATTTACAGACTGGAGCAAGTGTGTGGGTTTCCATCCACATTCATTCAGACCCAGTGTAGTAGGTGTATACATGACATACATACCCCATATACCATACGTACACAGAAGTAAAATGTCTAGCCACAGAATTCTCTAGAGAGTTCTCTGGCTAATCAGTTGTCACAGGAGGTACTCCACATGCTTTAAGGGAAGTGTCCCCTTAATTCCCCCTAGAAGAGACAAATTATTATAATAAACTTAGGGACTAGCTTGAGTCTTTGACGTAAATATTTTTGTAGGAATTTAGGCAGGACCAAGATAGGAACAAAGATGTTATTTCACCAGCTAGTCCATTCAATCTCACCAGCTGAAAAGCAGAGGGGGTGAGTGGGTGGTGGTGTTTTACATAAAAATGGGGGGTAGCTGTTGAGTGGGGGAAAAAAAAATCTTTCTCCAAATCAAGGTGATGGCATGGCTTTAATGAGAAGGAAGAGTTTTGCTGTCAGAATAATTGTTGGGGCCGGAGTCTGCCTTTTTTTGAAAGGAAGTGTCCCTAGAGCCACAGGCGGGTGCTGGGAGTGGACTTGCTGTGGACCAGCCTTGTGGCAGAGGTGCACCCAGGTGCCGCAGAGCCCAGAGCGCATGCAGCGTCACTGCCAGGGCAGCGGTGCAGGCTGGCTCAGCTGGGCAGGACCTCATGCTGAGTGTTGCTTCTGGGCTGTGTAGGTGAAACGGTGACCCCAAGTATTTGTGTCACTAGTCCAGCTTATGGACTTGCTGTCTGAATCAGCCACGAGCCCTTATAGGACAGAAACATTAAGAAGTGGGGTACTGGAGAGGAGATGATCAGAAGTGTGAGGAAAAGAGAAAGAATGGAAAAGGAGCCCAGCTAACGTGGCCCAGTGGTTGAGCAATGACCTATGAAACAGGAGGCCACACTTAGATTCCTGGTCAGGGCACATGCCTGATTGTGGGCTTGTTCCACAGTGCAGGAGGCAGCCAATCCATGATTCTCTCTCATCAGGGATGTTTCTACCTCTCTCCCCCTCTCCCTTCCTCTCTGAAATTAAAAAAAAAAATGGAAAAGGAGGGGAAGAGGAATAAGAAGGGGAAAAAGACAGAATAAAGGAGAGATAGACAAAGAGGGGGGTAATAAAGGGTAGGAGTAAAGAAGGGCTATAGGAAAGTCAACAACTTAGAGAAGGCAGAAAGGAAGGCTAAAAGAAGAGGTACACAAAGAAATCTATGGGGTGAGATGGAAAGAGAAGGGGGAGAGCAGAGGAAGGAGGAGAAAGAACTAGAGGTGAGAGCCAGGGGAGCGAAGAGCTCTTCCCTGGCTTCAAGTCCTGAAGGGCTGGCAGTGGGATCTGAGACAGCTCACAGGCACCCAAGTGCAGCTTTGTAAAGATGGGCTCACTAATCACATGGAGCCGACCCAAGACCTTGGGGCTGGGAGAAAAGGCCTGCAAAGAGGTGGCCGACACATCCCACGGGAGATGAGCAAGAAACAGATGCCCCTGCAATTAGCTGACAAGTGGGGTTTTGAATTTGGTAAAGCTGAGACCCCCGTGGTGCTACACATTGTACCAGAGCATGAAAAATAGCACCAGTGACACGATCTGGCACTTTTCCGAAAGGGCCCAGCATGGGAAGGTGACATTGCGCCTCCGGCAAGCCTTCAGATTGGAGAGAGCTCCGGACAAAGTTTGCAGTGTTAGCACCAGTCTGGCTCCAGGCTCCAAGTGCATTGGCACCACATGTGATCTGGGTAACTCTCCTGCCGTCTCCACACCAGTTGTCAGGTTTGCTGCAAAATACACCCATCCACTGGAGCCATAGAGATCTCAACGTTGGGAGGCGCAAGACAACACAACAAATGGAGGTGTGAATTCTATAGGAAAAGACCCTCTCACCAGTTTGCTTGGTGATTCTTCAAGCAAATATATATATATGTATATATATTTATATAAATCTACATAAAAAAATCAGTGCAAATGCCAATTCTAGTCTGAAGGCATCTACACTAGGAAAATAAAGTTATATTACTACAAAACCAAAGGTTGGTGGTTCAATTTGATTGTACTCAGCCACAACAATACTTAGTTAAATGAAAAGCACACTGCACAACCCACAGAAACATCTACTCATTAATGACAGTCCTTTAAGTAAATGGTTGCATGCTCAGTTGAGAAACCAAAGGAGTAATCATGGTGGCCTAAAGATAGAGCTGGGACCAGGAATGGCATTCTGGTGGCAGGAAAGGTCTGGGAGCAATATTGATGAAAGGAGACCTCGACCTGAAACTGGCTAATGGCAAATGTGGTCACATCGGTGACATTTTGAGCAATCTAAGGGGATTTCTAGAAATTTTAACTTTCATCAGAGGGTAAGTACATTGCCAGTCTTTTCATTAGCGAAGGCAGCCTCAAGACTACAGGTAGATGCATGATTTTGCTTTTCTGTTTGTTTTGGTGACTGCAGCCAGGCAGAGAGTGGTAGTGTAAGATGAACACCATCTGTTTTTTTTTGGAAAGAGACCCTCATTCTAAGCTCCAGTGTTCTTCCTGTGAAAAGCCTCACCACAGCTGATGGCTCTGTCTCTTGCTTTCCCACCCCAGCCTGCATGCTGGTTTGCTGCACAGTGTGGCAGAATTCCTGCCAGGTCTGGATGTACCCCAGTAATAAGGCGATGGGGCTGAGTCTGGGCCTGTGTAAAACCCAGAGTTGAGTGGTTATTGAAATCACAGAAAAGTCTCTCTCTAAACACCTTGGGCACAAGCAAAGCTAATGTCATCACCAGCTCTAATGTAGGATATAGGCTTCGGGAGGTTCCTTTCTTTAAAAAAAAGTCATCATTATTATAATTGCTAAAAAATAAACTTGGTCCAGGTGCAGCCCTCAAGAAAGGCAGTTTAGTTGGTCAACCTCTCATTAGTTGTCTTTCCTTATTGTTCTATCCCTTTGCCCTGTACATAGAAACAAGTCTGCACTCCTCAACCCCAACCAGATAATTCTCTTCTCTTCTCTCTCTTCCTCAAAGAAATAGTGCATCTTGGGACAGATCTATGACTAGCATCTCTGGCTGTTATAAAACCTGTTACTTGTGAAACAGACAAATAAAGGTGTCCTAATTACTCATGATAGGCCAAAATACTACATGACCCTTTAAGAATTGCATGTAAGTAACTAGGAACAAAGTTATTCAGCTATTTGCATGGCAGGCCCAGGTTGTTTATCAAGAGAAAAGCAAAAACTTCCCTTTAGCTTGTTGGTATGAGTCGGTCTCTGAAAGCCATCAGCTTAAAAATGCATTAACCAAATGTCTTCCAAAAATATCCATGAGGACAACTCATTAAAGGATGTGCTCCATGAGAGTCTATCACTAATGGGATAGGGAGATCATGGGAGGTAAGTAAGGGAGAAGTCCGAGTCAGACTTAGAAGGAATTCAGATGGTTTTAGTGGGTCACTGGCAACAGAAGGGAGAGTGCAACTTCCAGTTCTTGAATTTGATAATCTGCAGGTAGTGCATACAGTTAGTCTTTCCATTAATTAGTCTTTACAAAATATTTCACAAAACTTTTTTAACCTATAGAAATTTGTTTCTATACATTTAATATATTTTTATTGTATAAATTATTCTCATCTTTAGCGCCTTCTTTCACTTTATAAATGGCAAAATAGACAATCATGACGCTAACCCAGGTGGAACCCCTTCTTCCCAGTAGGGTCAGTCCTCCATACATTCGTGAGTTTTATGAAATGCTCATCTTTGCAAGTGCCAGTCAAAGAAACTACATGCACATCCTTCCCTGATATTATGCCGTCTCCAAAGGGACTCCTTTTTTTTTTTTTTCATTCGTTCTTTCCTTTGCTCCTTAAGAAATCAAAGGATGTGCATATAAAAAGTCAAAGTGGACCAATTACAGATGTGGGTAATGGGAAGGTTGGTGAAGTTCAAGTGCTGGCAACTTTTCTTTAAAGAAAAAAAAATTACAGAGAGCTCAGCAGCTAAGTCGGCTCTGGACATCTGCTGGGTGAGGAGGCTGCCCAGCTTGGGCACCAAGCCCATCAGAGGTTCATCCCTATGCCTGGCCCCTTGAGCAAACCAAAGCCTTCCTGCGTACTGCAGTGTCTTTTCTGTCCCACCCTTTGGCCCCTCTGTTTCCTTCATGGCTTCACACAGTTTGTGTTGTACATTCATCAGAATTCACATTGACTGCAAAACATAAATGCAACAAAAACATAAAAGCCTCCAAGTAGTAATGTTATATATATATTTTGTTCTTCTAAATGCTCTTCTGTCGTTGTCAGAGATGCAGTAGCTAATTTATAACTTTTCCTTTGAGGGGATCCAGATGAAAGGCCCAGACTGCTCTTCAATGACAAGCTTGCACTGGTTATATATATCTTCTAAGCTATCTCCTTGGACAATAGCTAGAAAGAAAGCAAATGCACCCAGCATTAGGAATCTATCATCCATCACACAGCAGAAGCTCAAATCAGTGATAGACAAACTTATCAGGAAACTTAGCATGACTTTTCACTAGTAAGAAAAAAGCAGAAAATTCACTTAAGCAAGGTCACATCAATGATGAAAAAAGTGCTTTTTAAGGCATGTTCTGGATCAGCAATAAACGCAACACAATCGTTTTCCTTTCTACATGTATGTCTGTTGTTCTGGACAATGAATCATCCATTTAGTTGCATTTTATGAGTATATCTACTCTGGGACAGGCCCTGAGGTAGGTATTGATCATTTTTTCACACTGAGAGCTCCCCATTTATTAAGGAAAGCTGGCCATATATGTCTGTACTGCACTTAGACACAGAGGAAATAACAAAGTTCTTGAAAGAAACTTTAGTTAACCTCCTCAACCCCCAAAACCTTTAAAAGGAAATCCCATACATTCTCCAAGTAATCTGGTAACATGAAGTTTTACCCTAGATACTCAAATTAAGATTATCTTATGATAAGTACTTATAAGAAACATAAATAGGAGGAAAATAAACAAACTGATCAACTGTGTATTACTAAAATACCAAATCACTTAGATTAAATTTAAGTACATTTTATTGTCTTCTGTGGGGGGAACAAAGCTATCTTGTAGCTACATCTCTAAAACACATCAGTGCTATCTTTATTACAGTAGGGCTTACATTGCTACTGAAACATGGTTTAGGTTTTCAAAAACACTCTTCAGAATATATTGATTATTGTGTTGTATGCTCAAATATAAGCCACTGTCAAATAGACTTTGTTTTGACTTGATGATCTTACCTGGATGCTCTTTTAGGATGAAATATAACTCCTATCTTTGTTATTATTATAAATTTTACTTAAGATTACCCGATTCAACATGTTTGCAAACTGCTAAGCCACTGGTGTTTTCTATTCGGAGTAAGATAAACAAGAAAATATCTAACTTTACATAAGGTTTTTCAGGAGGAAAGTTCTTATTTTCAAACTATCATTTGTAAGGCAAATTCCACAAATATTGCTCACTCCTTGGATTTAATCAATGTTTCATGAATATATATGAGAAAACCCAGTATACTCAAGATTTTAAAAAAATGATTTATTCCCCAAACTTCATTTCCAAGGACATATTTAAAAAGAAAAAAAAAATAGTTTTGTTTGACAGGGAATTAATTGAAACATGAAGTATTTCAAGACTCTTGTTCACATGTGTTAATGGGGAGGCCGACCTTCAGGTCACTGAAGCGGAAGCTGGAGACCCTGAGATTCTGTTCTGGAGTGACTGCTTTGGACAGCCCCCAGAGTTTCTTTATCCACGTTTTCTAATACCAGGGAGATAGTTTAATGAGGCATCAATGCCTAAACTGTCCTTAATAGCAGGAAGTAGCTCAGTGGCATCTGGCGTCCTTAGTAAGAAAAAGCAGAAAATGCACTTAAGCAATTCCACACCAGGAACCTGGGAGCTGGCTGCAGCTTAATTCAGAGCAGAGGAAATCCAGAGTCGGAAGCAAATGGGTGAAGCAGAGGGAAATTGGGAATTCTCAGAAAGATTTTAGGGCCCAGATGTACTATTCAAAACCTTCAATATGCTGGCAATTTATCTCCTTTATCACAGTTCCAGGGGAAATGAGCTTACCTGTATTAGACTTACCGAGGTTTGTAAGTTATATAAATGTCTGGTCACTATGTTGTACACTTGAAACTAATGTAATATGAAACTAATGTAATATGTAGGTTTATAACTTTTGGTAGGGAAAATTTGTACAATAATTAAAAAAAAAGAAATAAACTGTTTCATATCCTTACAACTGTAAACCTGCTTTTGCCCCATCCTCTATGTCAACTTGTAATTGAAAAAGATTTTAGAAAGAACTTACCTGTAAAATACTCTCCAAATTCTTGTTCTAGCTTAATTGCACGATCGTAGGTTTTCTTGGCCTGTTCCTCTGTGAGACGCTTGTTCATCTCCCTGGGAAAATGAGGGTTTAGTATTAGAACGCACAGGGACTATTCAAAACCCTTAACAATGAAAATGTCTGGCAAAAATGAGTCCCACAGGAGACTTAGTGGTAATCTTAGCGGTAGCTTCCTCATCTTCATTTGGGACTCCTCTTTGCTGGAATAATTTTTAGCAACAAAGACTCCTTCCCAGGAGCTCCCTCTCTCCACAGGCAATCTCTTGGCCCCACAGTGGGTTGAAGCAGAACCTGTCTCCTTATGATTTCCAGGAACTGGTCTCTGTTCTGCCTTGGGCAGTCCCACAGGGTAGGGCTAAACTTCCTTCCTCCATGACAGGCACAGGGTCTTGAAATCAAGCCCTCCAGTGTGGCTTGAGGTTTCCACTCCTTCAGAATAAACTGTCCTACATCCCTCCTCTGTTCTCTCCTTGGATATGATTTCTGAATCCTAACCTTCCTTGGGCTTTGCTCTAGTCTATCTAGATCTCTTTTACTAGTAAATGTGGGCTGTAGAATTGAACAAGATCTTCCCAGGGTGGTCAGAGGGAGGAGAGAGCTGGCCAGAAGGAAAGGCATATCACAGCATTTTGGATCTCATTACATATGAGAGAACATGACTTAGCTGTTCTCAGGTCCTGACTTCTCAGAAAGCTTTGATTTCTCAACTCCCCCATCCTTCCCAGGAGCTTCTGCTTATCTTTAATGTGCAACAGAAACCATGTGGAGTGGAGAAACACAGAAAGAGAGTGAAGGCCCCTTAGGCATGTGTGTCTTTTCCCGCCTCACCTGAGGATATGCTTAGAGAGGAAAAGGTGGAGGAAGGGGGAGGGGGGAGAGGAAAGAGAGAGGGAGAGGGAGAAAGAGGGAGAGAGAGAGAGAGAGAGAGAGAGATAGATCAATGCAGTTGCCTTTCGTACATGCCTTTCTGACCTGGGGATGGAAGCCACAACCTAGGTATGTGCCTTGAACATGACTAGAACCGGCAACCTTTTGGTGCACAGGATGACACTCAACCAACTGAGCCACTCTGGCTGGGTAGGTGTGTGTGTCTTTCAGGCTGAAAGGCATTCTGCAGCTCTTGCTGCTCAACTTTTACAAATGGGAGGCATGTCTGTAGCAACCAGCACCCTGAACTTCCTCTGTTTTTATAATCAGATGTAATCTCAAGGAGCTGCTGAAGAAGGCTGAATTAAAGTGAACACAGAGGGAATGTAACAATCCATAGTGCTGGTTCCAAAATATTTTAAAATAGACTGCAAGCAAGTACTATCAAATAGTGAGCCAGGATAGAGGCGCTTGTTAAGGAACAATATCTAATGCTCAATTTTGTTCTGATAGAATGGGCTGTAAAGGAATTATGCCTGAGATTCTCTGTCCCTTTCTTTCAGTTGGCCTGCCAACCATTGGTATGGTATATCATTAACTGTATATAAGTACTGCTTAATCATTGTAAGTTTATTTAAATCCAAACTAGTATCAAGGGCAAATTGAGGTGAGAGAAAAATGGAAAATAACCTAATCTACTGATCCCTAAGCAGCTTTGTCTTCCCATGTCCTCTAGTATTTAATCTTTCCATGTTTTTTAAATAAAAAACACTTTTTTAAAGCCTGCCAGTCATTGCTTCTGATCATCATAAGAATACCAGTGTGACTGCACTGGGCTGATAGAAGTCTGGCCAAGAGCAGTGACATTTTAGTTGGTCCATTGGGATGTGTGGACCAGATGGGTGTAGAAAGCATTGTTGCCTTTGCATGCAACTTGGGAAGTCAGAGATCTGAGTCTGGAACATGCGGTCTTAGTAAATCCCTTTTTTTTTTTCAGAGCAAATAACTGAGGCCTGAAGTAGTAGAGAGATTTACCTAAGGCTGTACATTTATTTAAAAAAATATATTTTATTTATTTTACACAGAGAAGAATTGAGAGGGATAGAGAGTTAGAAACGTCGATGAGGGAGAAACATCGACCAGCTGCCTCCTGCACACCCCCCACTGGGGACATGCCTGCAACCAATGTACATGCCCTTGATTGGAATCGAACCCGGGACCCTTCAGTCCCCAGGCTGACGCTCTTCCACTGAGCCAAACTGGCTTCGGCCTAAGGCTGTACATTTAATAAAGAGTAAATCTGATGCAAGAACTCAAAGTTGTGTGTTTTTTTTTTTTTTTTTTTTAAAACAAACAAACTATTTTTAAGTTAAACAGACCTTGTATTATACCAAGACTCTTTCAAAAGAGTCTTATTTGAAAAAGCAAAACAAAACACAAAACACAAAAAATAAAACAAAACAACAACAATAAAAACCCCCATAACAAACCGAAGTCAGAATCATTAAATGATTCTGGACATGATGCTGATGGCTGCAATATAAAGAAATGGGAATTTCCTGAATTCCTGCTGTTGAAATAAACTCATCTCGTTCTGAGGGATGATATCTATGATCCTCCTCCCAAATAGTACAAGCCCTAGAAGCTGTGAGAGGCTGTCACTCTCATGTGCAAACATGCTGGGCTCAATGAAGGGATACATTGCACAGAAAGACCGTGTTTTGCTCCAGATGTCAAGGAAGCATACAGCCCGAGTTCTTCTTTGACTTTCCTGGCCCATGCTAGTCTGTCTTCTTGGAATTCCCTTTGTACTTTTTGTAGCAATGACTAAATTTAGGTTTTTAATTCCCTAGTATATGATTTTTTTTGTGTCTTTTTCTAACCTAGGACTTCTTCAAGGTAAGAGACCATGGCTTGTTTATCAGCATATGGCAAGGAGCCTGACTGAACACATTGAAAGAATAAGTGAATGAATGAACAGACAGCTAGACAAGAAACTATAATGATGTCACAGTTAAAGACAGAGTGAACACAGGCCATTATAGGAGCAAAAAGGTAAGAGCACTCTGGGGTGGCAAGGTGAAAGGTGCTCATTGCCATGGGGCGGGGCAGCGACAGAAGTCAGAGGGGGCACACTATAAAAAGAACATTTCTTTCAAATATACTCCCTTGATTTCATGCTTCTCTGGAGAGTCAGCTATGTGTGTGCTAATAAGCTCTGTGGTTTGATGTGGAAGATGCGCTTGAGAAAATATGTGTGTGATGATGTATCAATGCCTAAATGTGACAGCTGCCTTGCTCTTATTCCGGCTGACTTAGCCTTCCCTCCTTCTGGGGCGTGAGCAACTCAGAACAGCTTTACTCCTGACGTAAAACCCTTGGAGAACATTCCACATTTATGAATGAGGGCACATTGGTTGGAATGTCTCCACTACTGCACTGGAGATCTATGGATGTGGCTGCAGCCACTCTGACGGATTCCCAGTCCTCGTTGAGGGATCGAGCGTTCAGTATGTTTAATTTTCCTTAGTGATAAGTGGCTGTGATAATGCCCTAAGGCAAAACAAAATAAGTCATCTCATAGTTGTGGAAGGAAGTAGACCTCCTACTGAGCACCAGATGGGACTGTCTCCCAATCTCAACGTGGAACCAAATGTGCAACCGCTTTTTCTCTCAGGCCTCTCTTCCTGGGAGCCATTTATTCCACTGCCTGTTGATGATGTGAAACTTATTTTTCTATTTAATGGAACAGACTTTTAAGATGCTGTTCCTAGGATGTGAGGGCCATTTTTCTATTCTTGTTAATGTTAGCATTGCTCATAAAATTTATGAGGCTTTTTAAAGATTTTAAATTACTTTTACATAATGAAATTTGTGGTTGCTTAATTCATTTTGTTCAATATGCCACACAGTATTCTACATGATGGGAAATTAAATACATGCTATTAGGGATAATATGATCAAGAACCATTATTTTATTGTTAACCCAGATTTTTCCATGTGCCAACTATGGGCAAAGCTCTCTATGTTAAAATTTAACACGTAAATTCACAGGGCTGAACTGCTGGCCATCTCCTTATTTTATTTTTGGACTCTGATAAAAACTTTTTGCCCATCTTTTATTTATGAGAATATAGTCTGCTTTTAAGATATCACTCTGGCAATTTCCTCAGAGACCCACTATATATTTAACTGAATTCTCTTGGGCTGCAATTCCAACTACTGCAACTTGCTTCATTCCTTCATCCTCAGAGAAGATGAAGATGGCTGAGCAGGTAGTTGATGGCCTCTGCAAGCAACTACGTTAACCTCTGGGGGTAAGTAATTTCTTTGATCTTTTCATGAACACTGTTTTCCTGAACTTTGTGGTTCACTTCTGCAGCCTGTCAAACACACAGGTCTTGAGGCCAAAATAGAGGCATATTTGAACAAAGCTCTTGTGACAGACACCTAGTGTTAACTCTTGTGATCTATTGGAAAAGGCACTGTACTGTTCATATGTTTTATGATGATCAAATAGCTGTATTCTATTTATAATAAGGTAACTTGACGTATTTCATAGCAGTAATAGCAAGTGCTTCCCATATGCCAAAGACTGTATGAAGAACTTTACATTCATGATCTTGTTTACCTTTCTTCTAGCTCTATGAGGTATGTGTTCTTAATGTGCCCAGTTTAGAGGTGAGGAACTCAAGGTCATGGAATTGACCAGTGGCAAACCAAAGAACTAATCCTGGCCTGATCAATTTTCAAGTCCCTGCTCTTTGCCTCTTTGTTCTGCTAACTTTGTGACAACTGCAGCCTCATTTTTGTACTGAAGTTACCTATAAAGTAACTTTGTTTAGAAGTCTAAATGGGATATTTCCATCAAACTGTCAAAGGAAATATGTTATCGATATTTTGTAGTCAAGTCAGATCAGAAATATCTGCCCAATTTGTTTAGTGACTTTTGAAGATATATTTTTTAATTTTCAGAAGACTTGTAAGATATTTCCCCCTTGTTCATAAATGTGCACAAACATGGAGCTGTTGGCTTACGTAATAGATATTTTACTGCCAAGCCATTAAGAAATTCCCTATAAAGGATAGTGGTCTATATTCATAAGGTTCTAATTAAGGAATGTAAGAATCCTGTGATACAATCAAGTGAAATGCCAATGAAAAGAGTCTAAAATATTGTCCACTCCTTTGATAAAAATCCACATATTTAAAAAGATTTACCAATGGAACTGCTCTCAGAAGAAAGAAATAATTAGAAGATGATGCTATCTATCATTTGGAAAACCAAATAACCAAATTAAATCAAGCTACCTTCAAAACAACAAAATAATCACACACATACAGAACAACTTGTTAAATGAAAATAAAAGTCAAGAAGCATTACTGAAGACATTTTAAGGAATTACTGACATGTCTGTAGTGACTCAAAAACTTCAATACAGCTTTAAAAAAAATCAATGGCATTTCCCCTTTCTAAGCATTTGTGACAGAGCTGTGTCATATGGAACAGGGGGCCAGATGAAGGCCTCCAGTGGCCTACACTTACATCAGAGGTTCCAGAGACTTGGGCTTAATGAAGATGGCAATGGGATAGAGCTGGGCAACTTGTAACCGCTTGATAGCATTTCCTGATACGTCAAGTATACAGTGTTTACCCTGGTAGAAAGAGAAGAAAAATATGGAGTTAATCCAGAAAAAATCATAATCCCACATTCACTAAAAGTAATGTAAGTGTGTTAGGGAAAGATAAGGGATAATAGATTTCTCAGGGTTGAGAAGGATCACTGCAAAGCACAAGTAAAAGTTGTTACATAGGTGACTGCTGAATGCTTGCCATGACTCATATTTATCACTTCCTTACTAAGTGTCTGCCCTTGGGATAGACATTCCATATGTTATCTCAGTTAACTATTTTCTTTCCTTTTTAATTTATTGGGGTGACATTAGTTCGCAAACCATACAGGTTTCGAGCATATAACTCAGTAAATCATCATCTGCACTCTGCATGGTGCACCCATTTTCCCAATAAATATCTGATGCTTTGCACAGAGAAGATATCATATGTAGGCGTGAATAACATGACTGGGTCTATTCTCATAAAGCTTGGAAACCATCTCTGAAGAGAACTGTCAAGAAGAAATTCCCACATCTATGAGGTAGGTATTATCAACTGCATTTTACAGAAGAGAAGACTAAGGCTTAGAAATATGAACAAACTTGCCCAAAGTCTCAGTGTTAGGAGGATGGAAACAAATCTTGAGCACTTACACAGTTGTTGGTTGGGATAAATGGACACCTCATTGTCTCATTCTGCCTGATGGGAAATTTGGAGGAATGGTCATCATGTGAATTTAGAATAATTCCATAAGTAGTTGCCGAGCGCTTATATGTGTCCTGACCTTGATATGCCCAGCCTAGCAGAGGACACTCACAACAAGAGTTACCTTAAATATTGTATCTTAAATGCTGAGAGGGAGGCTTACAAAGGGTATGTAAATTTCTTGTTTGTTAATGAATAGAAACTCTATTACATTATAGCACAGCTCATTTAACTTGGCTTCCACTGCAATGAATGCTCAGAGCAAGGAGCTGCTTTATAAAGTATTTCTAGAAAAGTAGATATATTTGCCACACATCAGATTCTACCTCCTGGAGAGAAATGGCCTCATTACTTTGATGCTGGCAGAACTTTATAACAAGAAGAGAAAAAGCACATTATGCAGATAGAAACAGTCCAAAATAGGGAATAGCAACTCAACCTAATATTTAAGTGAAAATGAGCTGAGTCCATGAATACTCAAACTCAGGAGAAATGCACTGAGATGGTTCAAGCTTTTACCACAGCAGCAATAGCTTTCGAGTTTGCTATCTATGAAGTGTAGCAGCTACATAAAGTTTCTAAATGATTTATTCACTGGCCAGAACATTTCAAGTTAACAAAGGTTGTATCTTTATGTTCCAAGAGGAGAATAGATGCAATTCTCTAGGAAACTGGTTTCAAACAGTATGATATAAAAACTAACTTTTGAGAGAGGGAAATAGATGCAGCTGCTCAGTGTATTCTTAGGTAGACATTTAAATTTCTTCATTTTTGTACCAGTACATCAACAGGGAGAAAACAGTATTCAACCCAACAAATATCAGTTAAAAAATAACAAATATAATTGGCTTTTAACTTTTTTCCCCCCTCCTATGAAATGAATTCTCTGTTCACAGATCTGGATCTCTCAATAGGCAGATCTTAAAGCCACACTCACATGCTTTCCTATCCTTTTCTTTTTGGAATGTTCTCTTCTTTCCAGTCACTTAAAATTATTAGGCAATCGCAGCACCTACAGCAACCTTAAGTTAGAATTTTTGCCAGTAGTAGGCTAGGCAGTCAGCTCATCTCTCTCTTGATCCTGCGGCTCTTAAGTTTTCAGGGAGATAAGACATAACTCCTGCTAATAAACAGACTTGAGGATGCTGATCTAAACATCAAGAGTAATGAAGCTTCCTTAATAAGTTCAATGTTGTTTTCTGGGACCAAGTCAAGGACAGAGGGAAACTTCATAAACTTCAAGCTGTTCAATGCCTTTATGTTATACTCCATCCTCCATCCCCTCAAGTCCATTAGCTTATTTTACTGAGATTAGAGCAAAGATTAATGACCATGCTCCAAAGTGATTCTTTGCTTAGAGGTCTAAATGGAATATTTCATCAAACTTTACAACTGCAATCAGGAAAGAGTAATGACCAAAATATGAGATCCTTCGGCAGGGGAGGTGTATGATGGTTAGTGAACATACCCTTTCTGCTACAAATCTCACAGACTGCACACTGGTTCCATACAAGTTGTCATTGTACTGGCCGGCTTCTATAAACTTGTGCTCTTGGATATCCTTCTCCATTTGTTCTCTGGAAATGACAAAGTGATAGTCTCTGCCATCCACCTCGTAGTCACGCTTTGGCCTTGTAGTATCTTTATAAAACAAAAAAATTAATAACATGAAGATTATACATTGACACCAATAAACTTCTTTACACTTATTTACCCCACTACACACTCAACATAATAGATAAAAATATGTAACATGAAGTAACATGAAACTCATGACATAGTTATAGGTACCAGGCCTAAGCCTCCGACTGTAAACAACTATAAAACTAGACAAAATACATGAAATAGCTATTTTCAGGCATCAGGCAGTGCAGGGCTGTGATTCTTGATAAGAGGAATATATAAGGGGAAACTACATTCATTCCACTTTCATTTCTTAATGGAGAGTCTACAGGTTATACAGTGGCCCCAGAAAGATCATATTTTGGAAAGTTACTTTACTAGTAGACCTATCTTCACCATCATTACTGGAAGAAGCTGATTTTTCAGTAAATTATTATCTGTCAGAACAAAAACTTAATATTTTATAAAGAAAAATTATAAAATCCAGACTCTCAGTGATGTAGCATCGCAAGAAAATATTATGGGACAAGCAATGAAGCAAGAAAATAAAAAAGGACATACAGTAAGAAATATATTCAGGAATTTAAAAATATATGAAATTAGATCATCCCAGTTTAGGTTGGATTGAAAGTTATCAACTTTAATTGTGGCTAGAGGTGGCTAAATTCTTTGGAAGAGGTGAAGAGTATACAATTATCAATATCAATAAAAAATGTTAATATATTTCAAATATTTGACTTAGCTACTGTATTTCTAGGAATCTATATTAAAAATTGCCAAAACATAAAATTTTATCTTGAAAGATATTCCATTATACCAGTTTATAAATTATAAATAACATTAAATTATAATTTCATAATAGTGAAAAATAGAGAAAACTCAAAATACCCATATGATGCTTAATTATGGCATATTAAAAATTCAAAATATTTATGTAAAGTCTAATAAGGCTAATATGATAAGTGTCCCTCTGACTGTCCGACCGGTTGCTATGACATGCACTGGCCATTTACAAAGGAATAGCACTGTGGACCTGGTGTCCACAAAGCAACACTCAGCTTCACCCAAGTGGGACACAGGCCCCACCACCACCTGGAATGACAGCCCACCAAATCGCAGCCATGTTGCTGAGATTTCATGGCACAAAATGTGGCCCACAGCCCAGCCCAAAGAGGTTGCTGTGGGGGCCAGGTAATGACATCACATAGCAATGCTTAGCTTTCTTTCCCTAGCGACTAGCCTCCTTGGAGTTTCTTCAGCCCAGGAACATGACTTGCTTTATAGCCAGGTGGAAACATTTTACACTTTAACCAAATGTCTATGAAGTGTTTTCCTGTACCTCATCTTATTTGATCCTCACAGAAGTCCTGGAGTAGGTAAATAGGAAACTTAGTAGAACCTTATTTTTTTTCATTAGCTAGAAAACGGAGACTTAGAAAGTTTAGAAACTTGACACAACTAAAAAGAAGTAAGAAATGGTGGACCTTGAAAATGACTTCAGATTTTCTCACTGCACAGTATAGTCAAACACTGCTGCAGTTAAATATTTTACCCTTTGTTCTCCCTGTGTGATTTACTATGATAACCTGCTTCTTGTTGATATTTTCTGCTGTGTTGCTGATAACTACCTGAAAGAGAAGTTGGGTGCTTCATTGGGCTGGAAATAGTTTAGCTAAATCAGAAAGCAGGTCTAATTAAGCAAGTTTATCTCTCTCTCTCTCTCTCTCTCTCTCTCTCTCTCTCTCTCTCTATATATATATATATATATATATATATATATATATATAAAGATCTTGCTGGTGTCAATCGCTCGCGTCTGTTTCCATTTGTCATGTCGATCATGAATTTGGTTGACACTTATAGAGAAAAGGTAAATAGCAATATTAAAATATTTCTTCTAATTTCCTTTCATTGTGCACAAATTTGTGCACCGGGCCTCTAGTTTTAATGTTAAATAAAAAATACTGTATATATCTAATACATATCCAACCACAGGAGAAAATGCTTCTATAGAAAGAATGAATAGATGGGAAATATTAACAGTGATGTTATTTCTGGTTACTGTTTGGAATTCTGTATGATTTTATTTTCTTGTTTAACTCTATTTTTAGCATTTCCAAGTTTTGTACCATGAACATGTGTTTATTATCATTTTATAGTGCTATTAATTATAAAAAAGAGTAAGAGAAGAGTGTGTGAGGTTCAGGAGAAAATGAAAATGATGCTTAAGGATTTTGTGGGTGTGTGTTTTCTTTCAAAATTGGAGGAACAAACGAAGTTGCTATAAGTGGTTTGACTTGATCATTTTTATATCGAGTCTTTTTCAGGACAGATTTTATGGCAGGATCTCTCCCCAGAACCCTTGCTGGGAACAGTTTTATGAGATGTAATTATCATTCTAGTTTCCTTCTGTTTATGTATTGCACACCTACAATTCCTGCTATTCTTACGCATTTCTGGTGACATGTGTAGTACTGAAATATATGAGAGATACTTCAAAGCATACAGTTTTAAAAATGTAGAGTGAGAAAGAAATATTTGTTGGAATCAGTTCTAAAAGCTCCTTTAGTGAATCAACTAAAACTTTCTGGTGAGTTTGTCTACATACACAGAAAGCTTCCATACATTAATTTGTCAGTGAGAAAGAGATGGAAGTGAGTTGAGTATGGAAAGTATGGTGGCTGGAAGGAGGTAGTGCAGAGAGAATTTTATAAGACTACACTCAGAGGGACCAGGACACCTGTTAGTTGTCCATGTGACAAAGTAGTTTAAAGTCTATAATGGCCTGGAGGGGACATTAAAATTTTATACACCTCCTTGTCTTCTTCCTCCCAACACCTGAGACTATTAACTCACAGGGGAAGGTTATTTTATTTTACTTGTGAACTAATAGATGGCCCTAAGTCATCTTGAGGTGATTTAACATAAGGCTTTGTTTCTGACCTTTCTCATTATATGGGAATAGATGTTTCAGTGGCATTTCAATCAATCTATGAGAACATGCCAATGCCTATCAATAATCCTATGCTATTTTAAATGCTATCACAATTACAAGGACATAATCCATCCTGCCTTCTTGGGGAGCACAGTCAGTGTGGAGAACATATCATACTTACTAATTAGAGAACAATACAAAGCAGGATACATGAAAAGCATTAGGCAGAAAAAATTAATGGTAGGTAATGTTTTATCATCTCAAAGGGAGTCAAGCCTCCCCCTGCCCCTCAGAGAAAAGAGAAGTGATACTCACGAGGCACACAGGAGCCAAATTTGTCAGGGAATTCAGATATCAAGTCGTCATTGATCCGATCCTTCATGGGGCCCAGGATAATCACTGGCCGAGTATAGTTTACTGCAGAGGGGAAGAGGCAGAGGCAGATGAGGAGAGAGACATGGAAATTGACTGTAAAATTGCCAAACAATAAGAGCTGCCGAGGGCATTACTGCATTGGATAAATTGCCCATACAGCTCTGCACTGGGAAATTGAAGTTTGACATGCAACCTGTTTGTTTGCTGTGGCTACTTTCTGGAATTTATTAACAGGAAAAAAGCAACTGCAGTGTCTGTCAATGAAAAGAAGCATTTGGAGCGGTTTTGCTTGCAATTAGGCTGTGCCTACATGATGTCAAAACAACTGCATTTAGACATCTCAGTGGGAGAAGAAAGATTCCAAAGCAGCTGTTTGGCCATTGTTTGGATAATGACTTTACAAAGTAATTGTTGGTAGTAACGTCAACTTATATTTTTATAATTTCTCCTCCTCGGCTCAAAATGCCATTTATACTCTGTGGGGTTTTCCCCATTCCCTTGTAGTGTGGGGTTAGAAGGAACTGTGAAGTTCATTGGGTACAACTCCTCATCTGATGCTTGCATTTTCTCTACAATCTCACAGCCTTTAGCTTCTGTCTGAATGCCTCCAGGAAAAGCAAAGGCAGGCTCCTGGAGCAGCCCACAGATGACCCGTAACCGAGGACAGGCCTGCTAGAAAGCCCTTCTCAATACTGAGTTGTCTTCAGTCTCCTGGGACTTTATCCAGTGCTATAGGTGGGGCTCCATTAAGGACCACTCATTTGGAGGGGCTGCTCCCTCCTCCGTGGTCAGCAATGTGTGTTGGTGATAGGGCAAAAGAGCATGTGGTCTGGGACAGTTGAGTCTTAAGCAGAGTTTATTTTCCTCATTCTGTCACTCTTTCCCTCCTATAATGGTGTCCCCTGTTGTGGCCTGGAATTCAGGAATCAGAACATGCAGGGAAACTTACTTTCCTGCCTTGAGACAGGCTCGTAAGAAAGAATGAAGTCTTCTTGCCCTCCTGAGAAGAGAAGAAAGGAAATGTACAGTGGACTAACAACCAGTCATATACTACAGCTATAAGCATCTCTGAAGCACAGGAAACAGGCACAGTTCAGGGTTCGTTTTCCTTACTATCTCTTCCAAATGACTGATTCCAAAACTCCCTTCATCCTCATAGAACTGTTGAGCACTATCACCATGTCAGGTTACTAGTGGCCATGCCTCCAGATAATAAATGGAGGCTAGCTGTTCAGGCAGTGACATCCGAGGCTGCCTTTCCTGACACTGAGCAGCGGAGTGCCATGGCCTCTACACCCAGCATTACTACTTAAAACAAGATCATCTAGGTCAAAAACAAGCTGCTTACATTATCAGAATTTCGGGACCTTTTATTTCACCTTCTATTTTATTTCCCAGAGAAACACACTATTCAAAAACAAGTGTCTGCTTGCTTCATTTATGATGCAAAAACGTCCTCAAAATATATTACAGGACACTGAGGATTTTACTCTGTTAATTCATCAGGAAAATGCTGAGTCAATCAAGAAGGTAAAAAATTAAAGAGTCCCCTAAGTCCTTGATGATAATTGCCGTGACAACTCTGGAAAAAGAATTAAGACAGTGTAGCAAAAGTGTCAGCCCCTCACTGTCATTTGCCACAAGCCTCCTGATTCATAGTGGGGCTCAAATAACCATGGAAAGTAAATTGATTTTAGGCAAATATTTTTCCCCCCAATTAAATATTTTATCCAGTTGATGACCTGGGTATGACTCAGCGGCAAACCCAGAAGGGTCTGCTCTTTTATTTGCTTTAGGCCGGGGTAACTATCCTTTGATGAAAATAGTTTAAGGCTGTTGAAAAGGTCTTCCTATCTGTTCTATAGAGGAGGTAGTTTTTCCTGGAACCAAAAGGCAAGGAATCTTACTGCTTTATCTCCCCATTACCCTTCAAACACTGTCCGTCTGTCTGTCAACACCACATGTTCCTCCTTCAAAAGCCATAGCACCAGACCAGGTGAGTTTATTTCATAAAAGGAGTTCATAGCACTGATAGTTGCAGACTGACAACAGATTTGGGGAAATTAAGCAAGTATGTGGATAAAGCTGTGAAATACAGATGTCTTCCCTAGAGATTGGGTAGGTGGGGTTGGGTAGGGGTGTCTCACATTTATAAGGAAGAGTGATAGCCCTGGCCTAAGTCATAATTACTTAAGGCCTATTCTCAGAATGGCACTGCTAGGCCAGCCTATTTCCTAAAGGCATGGAGAGTGGGCCTGATGTTCTTTCTAAGTGGCATCTACTCATAGCTTCCCTAAAAGTCTTCAGGGCACATTCCCACATCTGGGCAGGGGTTTGGTATGTGAGGAGTCAAATTCACATTATTTTAAAATTCAGGAAAAATGATTCATTTTAATAAATAACACTATTGACATTTACGGAGGCAAAAAAAAAAAAAAAAAGTGATTGGTTCCCAGTTCTCTAAAGCCTGAGAGATAGAGGTCATCGGAATTCAAAATACAAGTGTAAAATGGTTGGGGGGAAAGTATAGCTTTGGGAATAGAAAAATGGCAGACTTAGAGCTAATATTAGACTATTTTTACAGGGAAACTTAGGTGGAATGATTAAAATGTGAAAGAATACTAACTATGGTATGACAAAAGTTTTAAACATCAGGTGATATTTATGTCTAGCTACTAGTCTGGGTACTCCATAAAGCAAGGAGTAGATTTCATTTACCACTGTGTCCCCAGCCCTTAACATAATGTCGTCAATAAATTTGCATTTTGATTTCAATAGTAGAAAACAGGATGAGTAATGAGGCCAAGGTAGGTTCCACTTTGTGTTTCTATGTCCTTTCCCTTTAGGAAGTGTGGTTTTCTCTCAATGAATGTAACATGTTATATAGGAATCGCTTTCCAGTGGTCTTGTAAATCATTCAAATCAGGTATTTGGTGTCAGTCTGTATAATTTGTGATTCAGAAAACTAGGTTAAAGCAACATAGCTTTGGTTAATTTTGTTAGGTCTCTAGTTTTTTGTATATTGATTGCTTTTTGGTTTACTTTCTAACTTATACCAGGCACTGATTCTTGTTCAGAACAATAAGACTAGCAGTGGCAATAAGACTAGCAGTGGCAACATTCCTATGTCAAGGACCATCCCAATTCTAATGACTCTTCCACAGTAAGGTGTTATGTAAAGAAGTTTTTAGGGAAGCTATGGTGGTTGGTATCACACAATAGCTGTGAATTCAGCACCTTCAACCAATTTTCACTTTCATGTTCAAGAATGAAAAGCCCTATGGGTAATGGAAAGAAGACTAAGAGGCAAAGGGGAAAACAGTCACAGCAATGAAAGAAAGATAATCCATGTGTGTAATCCCAGGCCATAAAGGGCTTTCACAGCCATTACTTTTGTGGTAGGTTCTCTGATGATAACCCTTTTATAGATAAAGTAGCAGAGGGTAAGATATAAAGGTGCCTGTTTTCTCAGGTAGTAAGTAGTGGAGTCAATATTTAAAATCACATCATTTTTGACTCCTTGTTGGGTATATGACACTGTCTCAAAAAGGCAAGAAATATAGAATTCTCTGGGGGCTTGGATATAGGAGCAGACCTTACCAATGAGCAAAGAATGGGTGGCATAGATAGGCACCGAACTGGGTCAGAGTCAGTGAGAGGTTACTTGTAAACATCACTCATAAACACGAACTCTTTAAAAAAAAAAAGGCTGTTGTGTTTTCTCCATAAAATTGTCATTCGTAGGTAGTTTTTCTATTTTTGTTCTGGAAGTGTTGGCACTTGGGAAGAACAGCCAACAAAAGAGTACCAACTGTTACTTGGTCTTGTTTTTGCAACTGCATGCTGAGAGTGGGAGAGCAACAGTGCTTGTGGGGGCATCTGCAGATGCAGGAAACAGCCTTTGTAACAATCTCCATGAAACACCTAGTGTTTGAACTGGAAGCAGGTCACAAAAAGGGACTTGGAGTCAGACCTTGATATGCACTAAGGATAGAGAAAAGCAAGTTAATGTTCTTTCGGAATCTTTGGAAACTAGAAAAGAGAGAGGAGGAAGAGAAGACCAGGGGCAGTACATTTAATATTCTAAGTTTAGTGCCTCCATTTGATGATTGCTAAGAATAAATTAGGTTCTTAGACTTATAGAATGTTAGTGTTAGGAAGGGTTTGAAGTTCACGTGGTTCACAGATGGCGAGTATGTAGCACATGATGCCAATCCCCCATCCCATGTCCTTGACTGGCATCACAATGGGCTATTGCCTGAATTACTGCAGAGCCTTAAGTTGGCCTCAATACTTTCAGGACAACTCTTCAGGCAGATATTACCAAATGGTGAGAGTTGTAATCTTGATTAAAATCTACTTGCCATCTCTGTTTGAAACCAAACTACTCATTTTACATAGGAGAGGACTGAGTGATTTCTTCCAGATCACATAGTGAATCTCCATGGGATGTTCAGAAGGATTAAATCAGTTAATGTACTATATAGGGGCTCTACATCAGGCTTAGAACATGGTGAATGCTGTATAAATGATGCTGCTTGTATTAATTTAATAGATTGGATGGTTGAAATGTTCCAGATAAAACATGAAGGATTATAAACTATAAGGGAGAGTGAGAATGTATGTGATTCAGAATTAAATTGCTTTGGTTAGACTTGCAGTACCACCATGTCAGTGAGGGACATTGCCTCTTGGAGCTTCAGCTTCCTCATCCATAAAATGGAATAGTACTACAAGATGCACCTCATAGTTTTGTTGTAGAAATTCAATGAGAAAGTAGATATAATGAACAATTGCTTTATGAAGGCTAGAGAAAATATAAGGACAATATTTGGGACATGAAGCAAAGGACAAGAATATGGACACCATTTTGACGATTCCAGTGGAAAAGTCTTGGGTCTCCTCATCTGCCCCTCAACTTCACTCAGTTCATTTCTTTAAGCTTCTAATTTTAAAAATTCTACTTAGCGGATGAGCACCAATGGGTTATAAGGATAATCATCAGCTTCCCATATCCATAATGGCATAAGAGCTTTATTGAGCTTTGAGGAAGGCAGTCTTCAGCTGTAGAGATTGAGAAGTCTCCATTACACCTGCATGGCCTTCACTGCATCCCAATACAAGGGCAATTGAAAATGAAGCTACAAAACAACCACAAACAGCCAGCATTCTACTACTTTGTTGACAGAGTGAAATTGGAAATTAGTTCATAATTAAGATACTTCTGAGGTGGCATTTTGCATAATTAGACAATGTGCTCTATAATTATCTGCATTTGGTTGGTGCTCAATATAGTTGGACTTTGAAAAAAAAATTATTCTATAATGATTGAGGTGGTGCAACAAAGCTCTGAGCTATTTATTAAAATTTGAGGTTTAAATGTGTGTGTGTGTATGTATGTATGTCTCAGGAATGTATGAGGCTTTAAAGTAAGGTTGTTAAAATCTGTAACTCCAGGATGCAGTGTGAATGGTGCAGCCTGGGTTTTTGCTTCTAACTGCTGATTTAAAGCCGTTTTGTCCCCAGAGTGGACAGGGAATGATTCTAAGGGTAGAAAATAACACCTGAACATCAGTGGGAAAACGGTTTTTTTAGTATTTGTTTACTCTGCTATTTATGAAACAAGGTGTTCATAACTACAGCAAAAGCCAGGAATTCAATAGAAAGTGCAGTCAATTTTGATTTTAAAATGGCACTTTCTGGAAACTATGTCTGTCCCAAGCCTTTGTGTCTTTTTTCATGCCTCTGCCCTACCTGGAAGGTTTCTTCCTAAACTTATCTGGCTGGTAAGCACCTCTTTTTTTCCAAAGCTCAGTTTAAAGCCACTTCCTCTTTGAAACCTCAGTCTTGGGCTAGACTTTTACCCTAGAAACTGACACACTTTGTGCATTTATTTACTGCTCTCTCTCTCTCCTGTTATACGGGTCCTGAGCTCCAGAGTTGGCTGGGTCTCATGGTGCCTATGAAGGGAGAATGACCTACAGTAGATGCTGAATACAT